TACAAACCTTTAAAGATTCTGTCCGATATGCCACTTGGATTTCCACCGACAAAATTCCCCTCAGCTACAGTGAAAAGCTTAATTCCCCTCAGCTATAGTGAAAAGTTCCTCTGCCGATAGAACACGACAAACATCAAAAGAGAAAAGCAGATTCCTTCTTCTTTCCCTTTTTATAAAGCAGATTCCTCTTTTCATCCTCCTTTATAAAGCAGATTCCTCTTTTATTAGCCATCCACCTGTCATCCGCCTTTGCTGACATCCTAATCCAAGCCGTCCATCTGTAAAGCAGCATTAACTTAATTGCAATAAGGTTTCACGTCCATGCCTATAAATAGGCCAGTTCTCTTCAGAAGGAGGCAGGCTTTGAAGTAAGCTTTCAAGCAGATCTTCAGAGACTTCAGAGAGTTCTTAGATTTTCTATGTTTCCCTTCCTAGTTTCCTCTTTATTCTGAGTGTATGTGCGATTGTAATCTGAGTAGTCTACCTAATTATTGTCCAGAGTGGAAAGCCTTCTGCAACTATTGCATTTGCAAATTGTAAGCTTTCTTTTTATTTTCTATTCTTATTTATGAGTTTTAGGATTGTGTCGTTAAGTCTGTAATATAGTTTTGATACAGTTGGTTTGTGATACATTTGGTTTGTAATACAGTTTGTATAAGTTTGTAATATTTTCTATGAATTATAATGCAATTTAGAGCAGTGTTCAGTATTAAAATATATGAAACTTCTTATGCTACTTGGTTGTTAATTGATATAGCTCCATTTTCATTATTTGTGATTATTGTTATCTTATTATACCTAGGTTATTTTAGACTGTTATCATAATTAGGTTAAAATTAGTCGAAAAAGAAAAAAGTAAGATCTTGTGGGGAGGGGGATAGAGCAGCAGGGTAGAAGGAACTATCCAGATGGAAGGGAGGGGGGAGTGAGTGAAAGCAGTGGGGTTAAAATATGCCAATCATCTTTAGGGCCATCAGGACCCTCCAAATGGACAACAGTGATTGCATTTGAAAGAAATGGTTTGATTGGGGGCCATGTGGCGGACTGTATCCCATTGGATTTTTGTGGAGTTGAGGTGAAGAATGTTTCACATCCATTGATCTCATTTGGAGTTTGGGTTTATGTTGGACATGGATCAGGCAGCTAAGGTGGTGAGGAACTTCCTGATGTCCTGGACTCATTGGGGCATCCAAAGTCATTGGTGATTCATGCCATCGACCTGATGATGATTCCCATTTCATTTTTTTTTTATGTTTTTTGGGTGCCACCTCTTGGGGGGAGGTTGTGTGGGGTGTGGTATGTGTGTTGAGGTACTCAGAGATTTACTTGGCTAGGCACTTGTTCAACTAAGAGGTGGCTGATTTTGAATTCAAAATTTGAATTTGTTGGGACAGTGGGATTGGGTTGGTGGTGTCTAGGGAGTCTGCCATGTGTTGAGATCATGGTTAGACATTCCAACCATTAGATGTAGGGCAAGTTGCATTGAAGGAGAGGATCGCCAAGGGCCTAGTGATCATTGTGCAGTGAAGAATGGTGTGAGACTTGTCAGTGTTTTCATGGTGGAATTCTTACATGAACAAGTAGGCTCCAAGTTTGGGTGAATAGACAGTGAGGGTGAGAGTGAAGAATCTTTTGGGGGTGGTCGTCTCTCTGGAAGTTTCTTGGGGAGATACTATGGAGCAGAGATGTCTTGGGTCATCCTCATGAGCATCTCCAGCTGGTTGTACCTTGATGGAGGTCCATCTCCTTTCTGCGTCAGTCACTGTCATAGTATCGTTCCCGGCCATTGATCTATCATCGATCGCCTTCCTGTTTTTTCCTTGATCTGATGCAGACTATCTTCCCTCGACCACCGTACTCCATGCCATGATTTTCTGTTGTATACTCCTCGGCTTTTGTGCTATCGACTATGGTGCATCTCCTGCTGGGCTCGAGTTTCAGGTTGGTAGTTGTGGTTTATTTGGATGAAGAAGGTGTGCTCTATTGTGTGAAGGTGGATGACAGTAGGGACCATGCATTGTCAGGTGCACTCAACTTGGATTTGGATCGATCCCATATGCAGGCAGCCTAAAAGGTTCTAGTTATCTCTTTGTATTAGCTTGAATATCTTGAAGTGCCAGGTATGAAGTGGGAGCCCTTGAGCATGGATCTGATCTTCATTTTCTCCTATGTTGCATGGATACAGGTATGCATGACAGTGTAGGACATGGGTATGAGTGGATTCTTCGTGCCCCAAAAAGTAGGATTCAGCAACACGGCTACATACATACACACATACATGCATACATGATATATAATTACAAAGAATAGCAAAAAATTCATAATAATTCCAGTTATGACAGCATAGTAAATAAGCATGTGTCAGTATAAAACATGATGCACCACGACTCTAAAGCGGGGAAAAAAAAGAAGCACAAAACATATGATTCCCAATCCAGAAGTGTCTGTATCAGAACATGTGTCCATACGTCTCCAACACAAGTATGGGACCCTTGTTGAAGAATCCATGTCATCATCATCATCAGAGCCTTTTTCCATCTATTTGGGGTTGACTACATGAATCTTGGTCTGCCATTCTGCTTTATCAAAGGCCATACCCTAAGTGGGGCCATGAGTCGCTATATCTTTTCTCACTACTTCCAACCGTATCTTTTTGGGCCTATCCCTTGCCCCTTTTAAGTCTTCCATTTGAACCAACTCACACCTCCTAATAGGTGTTGAATTGCAAATGGCCAGCCCACCTAAGTTTACTTTTTCTCATCTTATTACCTATTGGAGCCACACCTAAGTTTTCTTGAATGTATTCATTTTGAATTCTATCCCTTATTGTCTTGCCACTCATCCATCTCAACATCCTCATTTTAGCTATATTCATCTTATGGGCAATGTTGTTTCTTGACCATTCAACATTTTACCCCATAACGCAAAGCTGTTCTCATAGTTGTCCTATAAAACTTCCCCTTCAGCTTCATTGGTATACGGCGATCACATAAAACTCTAGTTGCACATCTCCACCTCTCCCAACATAGATTTTCTCATTGCCCCAACTGATGTTTTCCAGTGAGAACCTGGCAGGGCCACTTTGAAATGCAAAGTAGAGCTTTGAAGGGCTGTCGTAATCTACTCGTGTTGGGGAAGACAAGAGAAAGGCGTCAGTGGAAAGAAGTTTGCAAACCAGATGGAACGAGTCCTAGGCATCCTTTGCCAGCTTGTAATCCCCTGAACATCATGTATGGAATTATGGATGGGCAAACGTGGCCGACAATGGAGTCCTTCGACATGTTGAGTCTTTCTGAGATGAGGTCCTGTCATGTGGATAGACAAAGTGTGGCAACACAGTGGATAAGAGGGGTTTTGCAAATAGGATCTTGGATTTAGCAACTAAGGTCTTGGGGATACTGGTGTCGGAAGGGTATGGGGTAAAGATATGGGGCTTCAACTCTGCAAGCATGGTTTGTTTGAAAGAGAGGATCTCTTTGTAGGTGTGGTTTTGGTCTTGCAAGATGTTGGGCTTCAAATAGTTTACGGGTTTGGTGTTTTAGTAGTTTGCGGAAAGGGAGGCTTACATATTTTGTCCTGCATCTTTGAGTTTATAAGGGGAAACTGACATTTTGGTTAGAAGGAAGTGGTCAGGAGGGATGAACCTCCCCCCTTTCTAGAGGTTGAGAGGGGGGAGAGAAGAGCGGAAAAGAAGGTGGTGGGGGGCGGTAGCACGAGCAGCGAGCCTGTCTCGGCACAGGGGGAAGCAACCGTAGTTCTGCAGTGATATAGGCTTGGGGAGCTGGACAGGGGAGGTTCATGGATGGTTTCGGTGTTGAACTCCCTGGCTTCTTAGGATGTGCCTCTATGAGAATTGTTTAGCAACTGTATCAGGTGGTTTTACTTTGCAATACATTTCGTGTTATTGGGAGGTAATCTGGCATCCTGATCTTGGTCGCTGTAATTGAAGTTGCGGTGGGAAACAAGCCAAAATATAACCATCCATGAACCCTGAGAAACAAAAATCAAAATGGAATTCATGTTAAACAATCCCCCAAATGAATCAAATTACAACGACCAAGAAACAAAAACCTCCTAACAATTGCTGTACTGGGTTTGCTCTACACTTGGCCAACCCATCAAAATCTACTTTCTCTCATTTGATCGTCTATTGTTGCCACACCTAAGTTCTTTCGAATGTATTCATTTCGAATTCTATCGCTTTGTCATGATAACCAAAATGTCTTGTACCGTTTGATTTAGAAAATGCATGTACCCAGCATGTTTTCTGCTTAAGATCAACATCTTTCTGACCTTCGTGGATAAAATCCATGCCCTATCTTTTATTGGGCACACTTTCTATGCTTCCCCTACAGCATAAAACTTCTATACTTCCCCTTATCCAACCGTGCATTCTAAATGGACGGCTTAGATGGCCTCGATCACAATATCACCCTCTATACTATTTTATTTTTAATATTTTTTATACTAAACATTTTGACAGCAAAATTTGGGCCTCCAATCCTCTCTTGATCTCGCACCTATAAAAACTGTAAAACAAATATTCCCAATAAAATAAAATGACTAAAATTCCCCTAAAAGTTTCAGGGGTAGTTTGGTCATTGTATTTTATCAAAAAAAAATTTAAATATTTTATTTAGGTGCACCCTATTGAGGTGATGGCACATACCAAATTTCATATTCATATAGTTCGTAAAAAATAAAATAAAAATAAAATACTCCTATGCCGTTGGATCTAAAGTAAATGGTTAGTGGCTCACTTTATCTAATTGGACGGCTATATATTTTATGCTGTAGGGGAAGCATAGAAACCTTTCCTTTTCTTATTATTCAAGCATAGTTTTTCATGCTCACATGATTGGGCCCAGTTTGAGTCCATAGCTTCCTAAAGCTCGTTTTACTTGATCAAATGAGCTGTGAAAGGGCTTTTCATGTGGACTTTTGTTGTATGGGAAGGCATGGGGTGTTGGTTTTAAAAATGATACTTCTCTTCTGTGCAGATTCTTGTACCAATTGCAAATGGGTCAGAAGAGATGGAAGCTGTCATGATCATTGATATCCTGCGGAGAGCTGGTGCTAGCGTGGTTGTTGCATCTGTGGAAGATAAGTTGGAAATCGTGGCTTCTAGAAAGGTGAAATTAGTGGCCGATATGCTTCTTGAGGAGGCTGCTAAGTTACCCTTTGATCTAATTGTCTTACCTGTAAGTACACAGAGATCAACAAATACTTCTTGACAATTGAGAGATTCTGCAAGTGAGCCATTGAGTGGATTAATGCATTCTAATTTTGGGGTCTTAGTGCTAAATGTTTATCTTCGTGTACAATTGTCAGGGGGGACTTGTAGGAGCACAAGCATTTGCAAATTCTGATATGCTGATAAACCTACTAAAGAAGCAGGTAGAATCAAATAAACCATATGGGGCAATATGTGCGTCACCTGCATTAGTCTTAGAGGCTCATGGTTTACTCAAGGTATGAGGATATGAACTAGTTTTTAATAAGAAAACTGTGGGTACGTGTGTGTGCGTTTGCCTGTGGACTCAGTAAAAATAGTACCAGTTCTCTCTGTGGGGGGTGTGCAACTATCAATCTTATCCCAAATTTCATCTGAGCGCTTTGCTTCCATTTTTGAAGATGACTGAATTTATATTATGGTCTTCAACAGGGGAAGAAGGCCACCGCATATCCAGCCTTGTGCGATAAGCTCACTGATCAAAGTGCAGTTGTGAATAGAGTAGTGGTGGATGGAAACCTAATCACGAGTAGAGGTCCTGGGACATCCATGGAGTTCGCATTGGCTATTGTCAAGAAGTTATTTGGGTGTGACAAAGCATTGGCTATTGCCGAGCCCATGGTTTTCTTTTGAAAGATGGCTTGATCCACTGGCGAGGAAAGTCTAAAAGATTTTGCTTTTACTGGTGCAGATGATACATCATATGAGTTTTGGTCTCTCTCGTCTAGATCATACGAGTAATAACTATCATGGACGTTTTGGTCTCTGTCGTGTACATTATATCATGTAAATTTGGTCTCCCTCGCGTAGATTATATCATGTGAATTGGACGTGGTTAACCTCAACGATGTTTACTCACCCAAAAAACAAAGAAAACCGTTCTGCACGTTTTATCCTTTCATCAAAACTGTTTCCCATTGTCATCCTTTCAATGATCTTATTTAACGGTGATGAAACCATCTGAACCTGTTATTCAACAGAGAAGAAACCATCAAAACCGGCGAGGCCCTAAAAAAGTCTGGCTTGGGCCACGAACTGTGGCCCTAGGGCTGGGCTAGGGCTAGTACTATCTCGTTTCGGCCTGGCCATTTTTCTTTTCTTGTTCTTGTTTTATTTTTTTCTTCATTAGTTTTGACCCAGATCGAATCGAGAGGCAATTTTGAAAAAAATACAAAAATGCATGTTTGCCGACCTTCCTCTTAATATTTACCTATAATAACATCATTTCATGTTTTAGGTAAAAATTTCAAGTCCATACGTAACTCACTCTTTTTCGTAATTTACAAACAGTGGGTATGGAATCAATACAAAAACCCAAGCTGGTGAGAGAGCCAAGTCGCTTTTGTACGGTCTCCATGAAAGGAGTCTCTCACCTTCACAATTCCCATGAAAGAGGCGCCTCATTCACAATTCCCATGAAAGAGGCGCCTCATGGAAACTTGCCCTTACATTCTCCAAGAAACAAGAATAAATGAATCCTGTAATGGTGACTTCTCTAGAAATTGTTTACTTCTCTTCCTCTAGAGCTGACTCTAATTGCAGAAGACAGTGACCGAGCCTTGTTGATAATCAGAACTGAGCAAGTAATGGAGAATTCGGAGGAAGAGAGCAAGTCACCCACCGGCCCTAGTTCAGGGCAATCCTCCCAGCCTATGAGCCCTGCTGTGAGGCGTGATGCCCCCGGCCCTCCTCGACCCACAATGAATAATGAGTAGCTCACTGCGATCTCTCGCAGTGCTGTCACTACTTCCTCACCTGTGCGCAGTGACCTCTCGTCATAAGCTACTGTCTTTGATTTCACATATCTTTTACGACATTCACTGATGAACGCCTCATCTAACTCCATCTCGATGTCGTATCCACTGTCATCCTCGTCTTCAATATCAATTGCTTTCTCGTATTTGTCGCAGGGCACAAAGCGTATGATTGTGAAATTGATGCTCGGGTTTAAAGCCATCCTCATGCCGAAAGCCATGGCTTCGCGGTCATCCGAGCCGCCAAAAAACAGCACAGCCACGGTCATCCGGACATTGGTTGCAGTCTTGAACGTGGCCCCTCCGAGTCCTCGGTTTACTAGGATTCCGACTGAGCATGGCGCGTGATCCTGTGTCTGCCGGTTCACCTTTTGGAGGGCATGGTTGCGAATGTCCATCTTTCCGTCGACCCTTTGGAACTTGTGGAAGGGCAAGATGATGAGCGAGGTGCGCATGTCTGTTGCAGTGATGCAGATGTCCTCGTGCATGTTGAAGTAGTACGAGACGGCGGTGGTGAGGCGGATGGGGATCCCATTCGAGAGACGGTACGCACGCAACACCTCGGAGATGGCCTCAGCATCGTATGAGATGAATGTGGCCCTGGTGTCGCGGCGGTACATGAGGGGGGAGGCGGAGCGCTCGGTGTACTCAAGGAGGTGTACAGTAGAGACAGAGAGGGGTGCAATCTCGGGCTGGGCAACCCGGCATGCCTCAACGAGGTTGAGTGTGACAGGGACATCGGCCGGGCCATGAATGCAGGAGAGGATGCGTAGCAGGGCATCGGGGCTCTGCCGCTCCATGCCTGGGTGCAGATATGCAGGCATCCGCCGCCTCACCTGTCGCATGATGAGTACCACCGCCGGACCCGTAATTCCCGAAATGGACACCGCTGCCACGATGAAGATTGCGTAGGACCGTAGGTTGAACATCTATGGAGAGTGCTTTGGTGTTAGCCAGTAAAAAGAGACATTACACACTCAACTTTCCTACATTTACTTTCATGCCACCCCTGCCATTGAAAAGTGGACAACAGACAACTAAACACTAGGGCTGGCTGGCTGGCAATGGCCTGCATGGCCCACCCCAAAAAAAACAGTAGGGCTTGGGTTACAAACTATAGCTATAGGGCTGGGTTAGGCGAGTGCTAGCCCTCCTTTTTTTTTTTTTACATTTGTTTTTTAGTGATTTATATACAAATCAATATAATATGCTTTGTTTATAAGGAAATTACATAGAAAGCCGGTCAACCTTTTTTTTTTTTTTTTCAAAATTACCATTTAATCTGAAGATGGAATATTCGATCTGAATTTTATATTATTATTATTAATTTTCATTAGTAGGACAGTGCTTCAAGCTTAGTGTAGTGCCTTACTAATGAAAAAATTAAAAAATTAAAATTAAAATTCGGTTTGATAAATAATTTTTAAAAAAATAAAAAAAATAAGTTCATCGACTTTTTTTATAATTTCCATTGTTTTTTGCCTGACCTGGCCCGTACGGGGATAAAGGTCTGGTGGCAGCCTGGGAGTTACCATTCGCTTATTAAAATGATGCTTGCCGTAATGTCGTCATACTGGTAACACAATTAGCTCTTGGTACTGGGGCGGTTTTCTGCATTGCTTATCCATTTTTTGTATGCGGGCTTTAATATGTGCCTGCTAACCTAAATTCGGGAACTTTTGTTCATGGCTGTGTTTCAAGACTTGGCTAAGTTTACTTAGAATTGGCGGAGTAACTCAGCCTTACTTTACTTAGAATCGGCCAAGTCTAGCTTGTTTATTATGCAAGTTGGGGTGCCCAACTAGCAGCGCAACAAAAAAACCCTTCGAATTATGCTTTTAAAAAAATATGGAAAATACCATTATTATAAGAAATGTTAAAAAATATGTAAAATACCATTATATTATTTAGAATTATGCTTTTAGATGATTTCAATGGTTTATAATATAATTTTGGAACTTTCTTATTGGTTATTTTTTGTTTTTTTTTCTGAAATATTGATGGTACAAATCAAGTTGTAATCCTTACTGCTTTTGATTTTTAATATTTTTTTTTAGTTTTTTACTATTTCTTTTGCTTTTCTAACATATTCTTGGGTTGTATATGACTCTCGACTGCATTCTGGCTTGTCCTAGTTACTCGCCTTGCCAAGGGCTAGACCCTAGCTGAGGTAAGCTTTAAAACACTGGTTAAGAGTATTATTTGGATCAAAAGAGTGATTTACATTCGGACTTTCAATGTTTTTCAAAAATACGTAATGCTCTGTTTATATGCAGAAATTACATAAAAGGTCGCTCAACTTCTTTATTTATTTATTTATTCAAAATTACTCTTCAGTCTAAAGACAGAATCTTGAATCCAAGTTTTATTTTTTCAAAAAGATTTTTGTTCGTATGGGAGTGCCCTACTAATACTAATGCAAAACTAATTTTTTTTTTCAAATTCGTTTGTCCTCATATCATGGGACAGTTTTGTGAAAAAAGAAAAAAAAATAAAGAAAAAACCAAATAGGTTGACCGAACTTGGTGTTTTAGAAAAAAATTCAAGGTTGGTACGTGAATCACTCTCTCTCGGGTATCCGAGGTTAGCTGCTCCAAAGAGAAGGTGGGTAATCCCTATGGTGTACCTAGATAAGATAGGATTGTACTCTCCGCCCCAAACTGTATTGAAGTGAAATGTATGATGTGGTTTACCCCTCGGCTGGAGCAGACGTTGAAGAGGATGACGTCGGCGACGCCCCTGGTGTTGAGGAAGAATCCGAGCACCAGCGCCTCATGCAAAGGTATCTTGTATGCCGTCGCTGCGGCCACCACCGCGATCAGCTTACTCACAATCCCCATCACCACCATCACCACCACCGCCACTATCGCCCCCCCGTCCCACACCAACCTCAAGTTCGAGTACTGCCCGATGAAGCCGAAATATGTCGGCAAGATTCCCACTCGCACTGGGTAATAGAGCCTATCGGCCACCGTCAAAGCGATGCCCCTCTGCCTCGGGAACAGCACGCCGAACAAGAACGCGCTCACCATGCCGTCGTAGCCGAGAAACTCGCCCAATGCTGCTGAACCAATTGCGAGACAGATGATGATGCATAGGTGACAGTCGCTCATGCGCGCTCGCTCGGGCTCACCCGCCTTCGCCCAAAGCAGCATTGATGGTCCCACCGCGAACAGAAGCATGAGCGCGATGATGAGACCGATGAACACGGATGTGATGGTGTCGCCGATCCGGCCGTCATTCATTGACTCTGAGGTGAGGAAGGTGAGGGTTGAGAGGCACAACACATCGGTGAAGACAGAAGCGGAGAGCGCGAGCTGGCCCACCTCGGAGGTTCCGAGCTTGATCTCGGTGGCGAGGCGGTAGAGCACCGTGGATCCCCCATTGGCCATGAAGAGGGGTATGATGGCTCGAAACTCGCGTGCTGTTACGTTCGGACGGATAAGGGGGTGCAAGAACCTGGTGGCGAGTAACCCCGCCGAGCCCGAGACGAATATCCCAGCGAGCGCGATCACTGATGCCTGGCCTTTTGCGCGCAGGATAATGCCCGGGTCTAGCTCGAGCCCAACGAGGAAGCAAAAGAGCTGGCGTCCCGTGATGGAGACCATGTTCAGCACGCCGAGGCTTGTATTCGGAAACAATTCGGCCTTTAGCCAACCTATGCTGCCGAAAAGAGTAGGCCCCATAACGATCCCTCCCTAAACACGCCGGAAAAATTCGAAATTCAGGCCCTTCACACACATTTTACTCGTTTCGATCCTAGGGTAAACAAAACCTGGTTAAGCGCCTAGGTTATGCAAAGCCCTCGTTTGGTCATCTATTTGTTTAACTTGGGTTTACATTATTTAAGACGGTATGAAACGTTATCGTGCAAAATGTTTCCATTTGAAAATGGGTATTCTATGTGCTTGCTTAATTTAGGTTTACACTATTTAGGACACCTTTGGCAGGTATAAAATATTTTCGTGCAAAATATTATATTTTTATCTGAACATAGGATCATCTATCTGCCTAACTTGGGTTTACACTAGTTAGGACACATTTTGGTAGGTACGAAACATTTTCATGCAAATTATTTTTATGTGAAAATTACGTTACACATATTTGATACATGCAACAATATATATAAACAAATTTCCCATTATAAATTTTTTTACCAAAATTATAGAGAGAGAAACTATACAAAATTTTAAAGTGAGAAACTACTTAAAAATTTTTAGAGAGAAACTACTTAAAAAAAAATTTAGAAATAGAAACTATCCTAACATTTTAGGAGGGAAAACTGTCTAAAACTTTAAATTTGATATAGTTTTCTCTCCATGATAAAGTTTCTCTCTCCAGAATTTGAAATTTCATATGGTTGAAACAGAAACTATCTCAACATTTTTAAAGGGAAAACAATCTAAACTTTAAATTCGATATAGTTTTCTCTCCAAATATTTGGAAAAAGTTTCTCTCTCCAGAATTTGAAATTTATATAGTTGAAAATTTCTCTCTCTAAAAATTTGGAGATAGTTTCTATCTCAAAGTTTTTCAAGTAGTTTCTATTTCTAAAATTCGATATATTTTGTCTCAGTAAACTTTAAGATACTTTTCCTCTCTAAAACTTAAATTTTGAGAACGTTTTTCTAAATTTTTTGAGATAGTTTTTCTCTCTAATTTTTCTGTTTTTTTTGGTAATTTCTCTCTCTAAATCTTGAAATAATTTCACTCTCTAAAGTTGTAAGATACTTTCTCTTTAAAACTTGAAATTTGATATAATTTCTCTCTAAAAATTTTGAGATAGTTCTCTCTCTAAACGTTTTAAGTTGTTTCTCTCTCTAGGTTTTGATGTAGTTTCTCTCTCTAAAACTTAAAAGTTGAGATAGTGTCTCTCTCTAAAATGTTTAAGATAGTTACTCTCTAAAAAAAAATTAGATAGTTTCTCTCTCTATAATTTTAAGATACTCTATCTCTCTTAAGCTTAAAATTTGAGATAATTTCCCTTTAAAAATTTTAAGATAGTTTCTCCTTAAAAATTTAGCTATTTTCTATTTCTAAAATTTTGAAAAACTTATCTCTCTAGAAATAGAAATTTAAGATAGTTTACCTCTCTAAAATTTTTGAGATAATTTCTCTTCTTAATTTTTTTTAGATAGTCTCTCTCTAAAATTTGATATAGTTTATATCTCTAAAATTTTAAGATACTTTCTCTTTCTAAAACTTGAAATTTTTAGATAGTCTCTCTCTAAATTTCGATGTAGTTTATATCTCTAAAATTTTAAGATACTTTCTCTTTCTAAAACTTGAAATTTTTAGAGTTTCTCTCGCTAAAAACTTTCAGATATTTTTCTCTATGAAATTTAGGTAGTTTCTCTATCTAAAATTTGATATAGTTTCACTCTATAAAATTTTACAATTTTTTCTCTTTAAAAATTGAAATTTGAGATAGTTTTTCTCTCTAAAAAATTTCAGATAATTTTTCTCTCTAAAATTTGATATAGTTTCTTCCTCTAAAATTTTAAGATTTGTTTTTTCTCTAAAAGTTGAAATTTGGGATAATTTTCCTATCTAAAATTTTAAAATAGTTTCTCTCTCTAAAAATTTCATATAGTTTATCTCTCTTGATATAGTTTCTCTCTCTTAAATTTTGAGAAACTTTCTCTATCTAAAATTTAAAATTTGAGATACTTTCTCTCTAAAAATTCAAATTTGATATAGTTCTCCTTTTTAAAATTAGTTTCTCTTTAAAAAAATTCAGGTAGTTTCTCTATCTAGAATTTGATATATTTTATCTCTCTAAATTTTAAGAACTTTATTCGTCTAAAATTTATAATTTGATATAATTTCTCTTTTTAAATTTTTTGAAAAAGGTTTTCTCTCTAATTTTTTATAAGAAATTTCTCTCTCTAAAATTTTAAGATACCTCTCTTTAAAACTTGAAATTTGATATAATTTCTCTCTAAAAAAATTTTGTGATAGTTTCTCTCTCTAATTATTATTAAAAATATTTTTATTATTATTTTATTTTTAGTTTCTCGCTCTAAAATTTCATATAGCTTCTCTTTGTAAAATTACCGAAAATTACAAGAACCCCCTATGAGTACATTTTTCATGCAACTTATCCCAACCTAACTTTTTCTGTCACTTTTTTCCCAAAATAAAGTTTTTATGCAAATACCACCTCAAGGAAAAAGTTTTTTAGACGAAAATACCCTTCTTATATAAGAACATATTGGACGTTGACTTGGAGTCAGACATTACCATCACAAGTGCCAGACCGCCTTTTACAACTACCACCGTACCGACTTTTGTGGTCGATTACAACTACCAGCGTACCGACCTTTGCAGCTGTCGACGAAGCTCACAAGTGCCAGATCGCCTTTTACAATTACCATACCGACCTTTGCAGAAATGCCCGATCACCGTTTGTAATGGCGGTACCTGCCCTAGGCAACTGAAGGATCGGCCTAGGCAATTGACTGACCGGCCTGAACAATTGACGAACCGCCCTTTCAACTGACGGACCTACCCTGGGCAACTGACGGACCGACAATATGCCGGACCGCCCTTTGCAAAAGTTAGGTTGGGGTAAGTTGCATAAAAAGCTTAGTTTTTGGATTTGTTTTTTTTTTTTGTAATTTTTTTTTAAAATTTTAAGATACTTTCCCTCTTTAAAACTTAAAATTCGGTTTCTCTCTCTAATTTGTGTGGATATTTTGACATAATTAATTGTATTTAATAAAATGGGCAGCTTTGGTGTACAAAAATAGTATTGCAACAAGTTCTCTCTTTTATGCTTCTACGAAATAACGGTTTGGATATCTCAATTTTTTTGGTTTCATATACCCGGCCTCTCTTTTTTGGTTATATAAAACATGATTATGTATCCAAAAAGTTGCCAAAGGATACCTTGGGATCCAAACCACCATTAAAAATGATTATATGTTTGTTTGGATGTAGGAGTATTGCAATCCAAAATCTTGTGAAACATACTTTTAACTACGCCATTTTGCAAGATTTATTCAAAAATTAAAACCCCACACCTAGCTTTCTAGCTTTCTAGTTACCCATGACCCAACTCTCTCGCTCTCTCTAAGAAGATAATAGTTTAGTGGCACCAAGCATCAGTATCCATGATTGATTCAAATCTAATCCACGAAGGAATCCATGATTGATTCAAATTTATTTCACGAAGGATACTCACGAAGACTTCGGTCATTGAGACATGCGAATTTTACACAGCTTCAGATTTAATTTACAAAAGGATACTCACGAAGACTTCGGCCATGGACTGAGGCATGCGAAGGCGTCGGAAAACGGGGCGGAGCAACCAAATGATGGTGATCATAATGGAGGTCTGAAGGCCAAGGATCATCATCCTTTTGGGGACGTCATCCCGGTAGAGAAAACATGAGTAGTTCTGCGGTCGATATGACTTGATGACGCTGCTAATGGGCGGCGCCGGGGTCGTGTTCGCCATAGAGGTGGAGTCTAGCTTACTTGCTTCGGGTGGTGCAGAGGAGGAGGGTGGTGGCTCCGCCCGTCGCGTAAAAGGCCTTTTACTCCTGAGTTTCTGGTTTTTATGTTAAAAGTGGTGGACGCGAGAGCGATGTTTTTGCGCCAGGAATGGAGAATGACTCCACCCCTTCCTCCTACGTACCGGGTCAAATTCATTCTCCACTCCCTCCTCCTACTTACCGGGTCAAATCCGTGGAATATCTTTGGGATTTCTTTTGTCCCTCCCCCAATATATCCTCTTACTTACCCGGTCAAATCCGTGGAATATCTTTGGGCTTTCTTAAGTCCCTCCCCCAATATATAGCAGCGATTTAAGTGCCGATTTTTCAAACTAAATTATACAATAAATTTTTTCTAAGAAATAAAAATTCTAAAATTTGGGACTTAGGGGATCGTCTTTTTTATCTTAGATCTCTGACGTGAGCCAGGGGATTCCGATTTGAATGCCGCTTTTTAAAACTAAATTATAGAATAAATTTTTTCTAAGAAATAGATTTTCTAAAAATTTGGGAATTGGGGGATCGTTTGTATTATCTTAGAATTTTTGTTTTTAGAAAGAAGGTAACCAATTCCCAAATTTTAGAATTTTTGGTTATCCCGTAATTGAGTGATTTATATATGGACTCTAAATTTTTTTCTAAAATACAAAATATTCTAGGTAGAAATTACAAAGAAAGTTGGTAAATCTGCTTTCCCAAAATTGATCCTCGGTCTAAGGACGTCCATAGACCGAATATTTTTTAGTTGTTTCGTTAACGAAAAAACTAAAAAAGAATATTAAAATTCAGACAGCATATTCTGTCATCATATTGAGGGGCAATTTTGGAATTTTTTTTTAAAAAGAGGGTTGACCCAACTTCTTTGTAATTTCTCCTTATAAAAAAAAGGGTTGATCAAGTCACACCAATAATAAAGTATTAAAAAAAAAAAACATAAAATAAAATGATGAAATTAAACCTGAAATTTTATAGGGATATTTTACGTATTCAATTTTTTTTATATATATTTTATTCATGTGCATCCACTAAGGCGCACACACCTATAAAATTTCAGATCATTATGGTTTGTAAAAAAAATATTAAAATTCAAACACTATTAGACATCTGCGACTGTGTGATAAACTTTGAACGATGATAAAGCCATAACTGAAGTACTATAGAACTTTACCTATAGACGTTTTGTAATGTTTTCCTCTATATATATATAGGAAAATCTTTCTACGTTTCCCTACAAAGTTTTATCGTCCCCTTTATCTAATCCTCTATTTTTTAATGGAGGGTTAAGATTGCCCCAATCACAACGTCATGTCTCTACACTATTTTATTTTTAATATTTTTCTATGAACTATTTTGACACCAAATTTCGGACGTCCATTCCTCTCTTAAGCTCGCACTAACAAAAAAATATAAAAAAAATATTTTCAATAAAATAAAATGATTAAAATACCCTTGAAAGTTTCAAGGGGTATTTTGATTATTATTTTTATCGATAAATTACTGTTAATATTTTTTATAAGTGTGCTTCAATTAGAAGATGACACGTACCAAATTTCATATTCAGAAAATTTGTATTAAAAAAACTAAAAATAAAATACTTTGAGACATTGGATCTAAGATCAAATGGTAAGTGACTCTCTTGATAAAAAATGGACGTTTGAATGGTGGGGGAGGATAGAACTTTTATGTTGTAGAGAGAACATAGAAATCTTTTTTATTTATATATATATATATATATATATATACTATATTATTATGTCAGAGTTGATGGATGAACACGTATCGTGAAAATAAAAAAAATCCTAATGCTAGAAAGATTGAGAGGCACACATTCCTGTTCTTTTTCTTTTTGGTAAACATTCCCTCTTTAAAGGAAAAGGGAACCAAATTCAAAAGAGCAGGGTACGTACGATTTGAAAGGGAGAGTACGCACAATTTGAATGCTTATCTTAACATATTTTATATTTGTATTTTTAAGAGAGAGTGAAAGATTAAGAGGCACGTGGAGAGAGATTATTTTAGATTTTTAGGAGTGATAATTCTAAAGATATGTATTTACCAGATATCATTTTCTAAAAAAAAATGATAAAGAGAGAATGAGGGGCACGTAGATGAATAAAATATATAACACTTTTCAAGTGACCAATCTAAAGAGATAAATTTATAAGATATCATTTATGGAGGAAGATAGAGAGGTACGTGAAGATGGAGAGAGGTTTGGAGAGTGATAAACCTAGATACATTTACGGAAGGTTATTTACTTAAAATATATAATGAGATATAAGAAAATACTGGATAAATACAATAATACACATTCCTGAATCTGGAAAATTTGAAAGTTAAATTTCTATCTTTCCTAATATTCTCCCGTTGAAAATTTCTTAAATCCTCCCCCTATCACTCTCTTATCTCTCTCCTTTTGATCTCTCCGCTAGATCTATATGTTTGAAGCAGTGGTTTAGAACCTAAAATTGGGTTATGAATTGGCCTTATGGTGCAATTTGGATTAAGATTTCGTGATCTTTTGGGATAAATAAAGTTCAAAAGATTTTTTTAAAAAAAAATTATAAAAATTAAATGAAGAGGAAATTGTTTATCTAATCCACATTGCTGATTCCTTTTTTTTTTTCAATCTAATTCAAATTATTGATTTGTCTAACATAATCATCACATACTTTCACAGAATTAGACGGTTCCCACCAAACGGACCGATTCCCGATTATGAAAATGAATAAGTCCATCCTCCTGTGCAACGCGACAATTCTTGTCCTAAGTCAATTTTTTATAGAAAAGTATATAATGAGGCCATTTATCTTGGGTAAGAAGTGATCACACTTAATCTTGACCGTTGAATGTGAAATGAGATGGTTGTATTTATTTTATTGACCAAGTTCAAATTTTTTTTTAAAAAAAGTTTCCTGAACTTTGTAACGCACCCAAAGCTAGTTGATTTCACATCGAATGATTATCCATTACAAGTAATGGTGACCTGCTTATAAATGGTTTCATTGTATACAAACTGTATTTTTATATAGCACTTATTGTGTGTATCGCTTGATCCGTTCCCTTGCCCTAAGACTTCGGTAGAGAGGCATAACCTATGGTCATGAGGGACGCCTCAATTAGTCCCCCCTTTTGCTTGGGCGGGAGCGGTAGCCGTTGCTTTACCACCAAAACCGAGCTCGTGATAGAATAGTCGGAACAGGACAATAAGTCCCCAATGGGCCCGAGCTCCGGGCACTCCTCCGACCCACTTATCATCAATTCTGTAAATCGGGACGTCCCCTGCCCCACCAGAAACAACTCAGATGATGCATCTAACTCTCGTAGGGCGTCCACTGTTTCCGCTTCTGAGCTCACCATCCTCTCCTCGTACCGCATACGGCCCGACTCTACATACCTCTGGCAAAAGTCATCCAGAAACTCCTCGTCCAGTGCCTCCACCTTCTCGTGTGGCGGGGCGGTCCCATCCGCCGTTCCACACTCCGAGAGAGTGAGTGAGGTATGGAGCCTCCCACAAATGAACCGCACCAGCCTGAAGCTGACGTTGGGATGCTCAGCCATCCTGCCGCCCAGCGCAAGGGCCTCGCGATCATCAGGTCCACCGAAGAAGAGTCCCGTGACTCGGTGCCTCTTGCCTGTGGCAGAGGCTAGCGTGGTGCCGCCGAGCCCCCTACATGCCAGCACCCCCACCGTGCAGGGGGCATGCTCTAGCACCCTACGGTTAAACGCCCTGTGCGCGGAACTTCGAACCTGCATTTTTCCATCGAGCCTTTGAAACATGTGGAAGGGGAGCACAACAATAGAAGCCTTTACATCCTCTGCACTGGTACACACATCCTGGTGCATGTTGAACATAAAGGAGATAGCGGTGGTGTGGTTCAGGGGAGTCCCCCCACCCTTCACATAGGCCTCCAACACAGCCGCTATCTCCTCCGCGTCGGCCCCAACTGGGGTGTTGCTGTTGTCATGGCGGTACTCGAGCTGGCAGGCAATTCGATCGTTGTACTCGATGAGGTGCATGGTGTAGGCTGCGAGGGGAGCAGAGGTGCTCGAGCCACGGAATGCCTCGATGTAGTTGATGGCAGTGGGCACATCGGTGGTGCTGTGTAGACATGCAAGCACCCGAAGCTCAGCGAAGACGCCCTGCCTCTCAATGCCGGGGTGCATGTAAGGGGGGATCCCACGCCTGGCATACTGCTTCAGTGCTAACAAGGCGAAGGCCGATAGGAAGGAGCTCAGCAACGAGGCAACCGTTAGGATTGTCGCGCTCCGACGATTGACAACCTGTATGAAGCCAGAACATACTCCATGCTCTTACAAATCGAGCATCACACAAGTGCACTTACTTCTCCAAAGGGCAAATTTTCTACAGCGTCGATGGAGCACTAAAACCATCCATCAATTGGATGGCCGTTCACTGGGACTCTCAACCTTCTCAATGTTGGATGTGAATATCTACAGTTTTTTTTTTTTATTTAAAAAAAAAAATCGATTATTCTCTTTTTTTTTTGGCGGAAATTTATCACAAGGTAAACTGAGAGGAAATTCATCACAAGGTAAACTGAGAGGTTATTGTAAAAGTTTCGGTCCTCTTATGTTCACTTGACATGTTTTTTTGTGTTTTGAGCAGTTTGAAGATCCAACTTTCAAATTGCTCGATCATTAGGTAGTTTGTATCTCCGAACAGTCATTTTCACCCAAAAAAACAGAAAAATGTTTAGATTTTTACTTTGCTCGACAATTAGGTAGTTTGTATCTCCAAATAGTCATTTTCACCAAAAAAAACAAAATAGGTTTAGATTTTTACTTTGAACTGGTTAAAGAAAAGAGGCGGTTTGATAGTTTCAAATTTAGAAATGGGGATAAAATGGAAACAATTCAAAATCACGAGCCTCTCTGTAAATTGTCCCATGAAACTCTTTTTAATATCGAAAATTATGCACAAAATACAAAACAAAATGTCTCGAATGTTGGTGACACATTTCATTTATTGAATGTTGTGATATATTTTCATTTATTGGATTTCACATCTAATGACTAAAAGTGATTGTGACATTCTTATACCAAACACAAAGGATCTCGTAACACCTTATTTTGAAGGCAAGGATGGAATTTGGAAACATAAAGCGTGTGCCTAATTGAAGATTTAGGATTCTAAATGTAAAGGGCAATGAAATTGACTAAGGCCCTTACAATATTATTTTTATGTTCTCTTAAAAGACAAGGTTTTTGGCTTGTTGAAGGCGTGAAGAGAAGAATCCTTCAGCAAGGAACTTAATTGGAGAGGCAGTGAGCGGGTAAGCTTTCTTAAAAAGAGGATAGAGTGAGTTTTTTCAAAATGTATTATTTGTAGAGCATAAAAACCAATGTTTAGGAATATTAAAGAAGAAAACTGGTACAGAAAATGAAAAGAGACATGACACAAGGATTTACGTGGTTTGGCAAGTTGCCTATGTCTATACGGCAGCAAAAAAATTTTCCACTAATTTATAAAATACTATACAAGCATAGAGAATAAAAAGGTTTGTCAATTTCTCTCTCAAGCCCTAAAATTGGATCCCTCTCTAGAACACACATCTAAAAGACAAGAACTAAGCTTTATGTTGATATCACACTTTTCCATATGTATTCTCTCTTTGCCAAAACTACTTTTATAAGGAGAAACATAGAGAAGATATCCACGTGAGCGCTCCTATCTCATTCCTATTTTCTAGGTTTTGAAAAGGTCTCCTATTTTCTCAATACAAAAAGGTTATTAACTACTCCCCCAAAAACGGTTATTAACTAATCCCCCAAAATAAGAATTCATATCCCATATAATAGGAGATCTAATAGGAATGCAAGATCACTTAATAACTTCTTATCCAAAAACATGGCTTCACACTAACAATATTCAATTTAAGATGGGTTCATTAGATTCACCAAGAGAACAATGGGTTTTAGGTGGATCAGCCAGAACAGAAAAAAGAAGAGTGATTTACTTACGAGCTTAATTTTTTTCTTAAAATATGAAATGCCGTGGAAATTACAAAGAAAGTTGATCCACTTATTTTTTTATTTTTTTCAAAATTGTGTCTCCGTCCGAAGTTATTCTCGGACCGAATTCTAATTTATTATTTATTATGATTTTTTAGATTTTCATTAATAGGGAATTACACTAAAGTTTGAAGCTCCTCTACTAATGAGAAAACTAAAAAATATAATAAATCAAAATTTGGACCGAGGATTCTAGCCTCACAATGAAGGGCGATCTTGGAAAGAATAAAAAAAGGCAGGTGACTGACTTCTTTGCATTTTCTGCTATAAACGAAGCATTTTTTGTATTTTAGAAAGAAATTTTTTTTTTTGGATCTGTGTGTAAATCACTCAAAAAAGAATAAACATGATGACAAAGGTCGGTAAGGGGGTGTCCTAGCTATGTTGGGGCCATGCCGAGCCAAAAAAGAAAAGAAAAGAGAGAGGGTCAGCTGAGCCGAACCAAGTCAGCATTGGCCCTAGCCCTAGCCTAGCCCAGCCCTTAGCCCTACGTTTTTAGCCCTTAGCCGTACGTTTTTTGCTTTTCTCCCAAGTCTGGTTTGAAAAATTGCAACAGCCATGACATTCTTGAGCTGCTACAATGAATAAAATGCGTGTTATTTACATGTAACCAGCATTTTATACTCCCTGTCATGCAACTGATGAGGGATGAGAAGATGCAATTTTGTAGCGTAATGCTGGTTATGATTAGAATTTCCGAAAGCTTCTGCAAATTTACTCACATGCAAGGTGCTGTCATAGATGATGATGAGGAGCAGGTCCGGGAAGCCTTTGATGGACAAGAGGAAGGCTGTCATGAGGCTCTCATGCAGCGGCGCCTTGAACACCAATCCCATGCTCAGTGAGGTTGCGACCTTCCCTGCAATAGCCAAGCCCGCGACGAGCAACATGCTCAAGCCTGCAGCCGGCTGCCTCAATTCGTCGGGCTTCAACAATAGGCTTATAAGGAAACAATACATGGGAAATGCGACAGACCGAACCGGGTAATACAATTGGTCAAGGAGCGCCGGAGCCACTCGTGTGTTCCTGGGGATGAACATCCCGAGCAACACACTGCACATCATTGGGGGGTAGCCTACCAGTGCAGCAAGCTGCGCTAGCGAGGTGACCATTGCTAGCACCACGCACAACGTAGTGTCGCTTATATGGATTCTCTGTTTTCTGTTGCGCCCCACCATCCAGTGAATGCCAGGCCCCATCAAGTAGGCGCATACCAGAGGATAGCTCAATGCCAGCAATGGTTCCATGAAGAAACCATGAGCCTGCAACCTGGCTACTGCCGGCTCTAGTGATGCAAGAGCGAGTAGCGTGAGGCACACCACGTCGTTCAACAGGGCAGTGGAAACCCCAAGTTGCCCCACCTTGGTGATTGCCAGCTTGAGCTCAGTGGCATGGCGTGCCTGCGTTGTGGACCCTGTGTTGGCTATGAAGAAGACCATAAGGCTACGGAAACTGCTCAGGGTTGAGTTGGGGGCGATAAGAAGCTGAAGGGGGTCGGTCACATAAGGAATCATGCCGCAGGCGATGCACCACCCCACTAGCACAAGCGAGCGGGCGTGCCAGCTGCTGCTCGTTACGAGGGAGATGTCCATCTCTAGCCCCGCCATGAAGGCGTAAACCTCCCTAGCTGTCCAAGCAAAGCCTTGCAGTGCAGTGATTCCTGTGGGTGAGAACAGCAATGCCTTAAGCCATGGGATGCTGCCTAGCGCGGATGGCCCCAGTAATAATCCCGTCTGCATGTGTAAAAGCCTTTTGTTAAGACTCGGGTTTAGATCAAAATTCATCTTTAATAAGTTTTGGCAAGCTGAACCATTGTGTTTGAACCAACTATTTCAAATTTGTTGAATGGTTGGGACTTTAATTATTTATTTTTTAAGATGTCCAAAATATTTTGATTACTTCTTTCTACCTTTACTTTTTGAAATTCTGTCCCATTACTGATCAAAATTGAATTGGTGTTGGTTGTGGTAGGTCTCATTCTACTAACACTGCTACCAATGGCTAGAAATCTTAACATCAGGGAACCCACCATCCGCAATACACACACCAAAAGCTAAAGAAAAATATTTAAAATTAAAAGGCTGGTGAAATCTCATGAGAAATTAACAATTATACATCCATTATGATTTTAAAATTTGCAAGAAAACAAGGACAAACCCCTGAGCCTTAAAATTTCAAAGGAAAAAAAGAAAAAAAAGAATGTTATCAGTAACTAGAATCTTTGTCTTACCGTGATCTCAGCGAAGTACTCCGGTATGTAAAAGAACCTGAGGATTGAACGCAAGACAGGGACGACAGAGAGGAGGACGCTCGCCTGGAAGAAGAGGAAGAAGAGCTGCTGTGCCGTCCCGTGGGAAACAATACCAGAAAGAATGTTCTTGTCCTCGGTGCAATTGAGAATGGAGGGTGGTATGAAATGTGGTATCGTAGGGCTTGCCATATTGTCCTAGAGCTTTTGTCGTCGTTAAACCGCCGGAAACCAGAGCCCAGCCAATCCACATGCCATGGCCACCCTCTGAAACTTGGGGGGGGGTTAAGAATGTTGGACAGAATGAGGGCAAGGCCTATTTACCAACTTCTATATTTGGCAGTGATCGGTATGTTTTCCAGTTTAATTCAAAGAAACACCATTCTTATTTAAAGAAACACCTCACCAGAGAGACAGCCGAACCAGCATTTCTTATTCAAATTGGGTTGGGATTTTCTAACTGATTACTGATAATAGTAAAAGTTCTTCATGACTCTGAGGGTGCAAGAGCCCGCTGACCCACCAACGTCCAGATTACCAACGTGGACGTAAAAAACTCACAAGGTTTATATGGTGTAGAATTTTTTTTTTTTTGAAAAATCACATTTTAAATATCAAGTTTATATATATATATATATATATTTATTCATGAGTATCTTAACCTAGAATCCCTAAAGTTTTAGATTAAAAATCCATTTCTAAGATGGTTTAAGTAGGGGCTTGCATATGTATAATATGAGTTGGCTGACTCATAAAACTGCATCCTTCAAATATTCTTACACGAGATTTTAGGGAAACAACTTCTGTGGACTAGCAAAAACGCACTGCTCTACGCATGTTTTTTAGGAGCATGAGGTACATAAATAAGTATTTTTAGGAGCATGAGGTATATAAATAAGTATAATCAAAAGAAGGAAAATTGTTTGATGCGGCTTAGACCGCATTTTTATATATGCAGCCTAAAAGGTGTAAAACATCTATCTTAAAGGTGGATGCAAGTAGGTGTTCCATTTGAAAGCAATGGAAACTAATGGTCCATATGTTTTCTTACTAGAAGTTTTATTTCAAGTTTTTCAAATTTATTTATTTATTCATATTCATGATCTCCATGTTAGAGATTACATGTCTTTAAAACTAAGTCGTAAAATTCATCTCAAAAATAAATTTATTAAGAGGTCAGCATTTTTACATATACGGGCTGGGCCGCAGAGAAACCCTGTCCTGAAAAAAAATTCTAAAAGCACGTAAAAAATCAAATATTATGTTTCTCAAAATGGGATCTCAAAATGTTGGTGTTTAGAATGGAAAAAGTATACAGTGCTACCACTTACGTTTGGTACAAGGTGATTACAATTAATCTTGCCCATGAGATATGAATTGGGTGGCTCTCAAACTTCAAAATAAATTTTTTCAAATTTATTACATACCCAAATTATTAGATTTCACATCGGATGGTTATGAATAATTGTGACCTCCTTGTATCAAAGGTAAATGGTCTCATTGTATATATTCCCTAATGTCAAGTTTCCCACACTGAGATATCTAGATATTTCATCACACTCATATTACCTACACCCAAATTTATCCACATCCCATAATCTTAGACATGTATTATATAGAGAATATATATTTATATAATATGTGATTGCAATTGAAATCATTGCACAATTTAAAGTGTTTAATATTGGTAGGGTAGAAATTAAATTAAAAGAAAAAATAAAAATAAAGTGAAGCCCTCAATTTCAAAAAAAAATAAAAATAAAACCCCTCATTATATAAAAACAAAAAGCATATGCACAAATCTTAAAAAAACCTTGAAAAATATAAAAACGTTGTTAAAAAAAATTTAAAACTCAAGTATAAGAGTGAAACACATGAAACTAAATACAATAAGAAAATATTTACAAACCCTAAAAGAGTACCTATTGAATTATTGAATGAGTCTAATCTTTTTTTTTTCTTCTTTAACACATGAAACTAAATACCTTTCTTTACAATAAGAAAATATTTACAAACCCTAAACGAGTACCTATTGAATTATTGAATGAGTCTAATCTTTTCTTCTTCTTCTTTTTTTTTTTTCTTTTTAATTATAAGCTTTGCTAATTAGCGGATGAAAAGTTTCATTCCCTAATTTCATAAAAGAAACATGCATGTAATATTTCAACAACCTTACATAACCTAAACTAGGGCACGATTAAAACAAAATAAGGAAATATTTGGTTATTTTTTTGTTTTAACCTGTAAATACAATCATAAATGAAATGAATTAAATTAAAAGATACAAAAAGAAAAAGGAAAATAAAAAATCACTTGCAAATGTAAAAATAAAAAAAAACAAAATAAATTATGAGCGACAAAACATGATTTATATAGTCCTTTATTTGTGTTCTTCCTTGCTGACTTTCGGGTAATGATTAAAGGCTCTCTGACATTTTTGAATTTTGAAAATCCAAAATTCATCTGAGAATTACATTTATGGATTTTAAAAATTCAAAAATTGCAAAAGAAAAGAAATAATGTCCCAACAATTATATTTGACCCAAAAAAAAAAAAAGGGTGCGGTTTGTATAGAGTCGAGGCTCAAAACAATCAAATTAGAGCCCACCTTTGAATAGTGTCGATAAATGTTATTTCAATATTGGAAATATTTTTGATAGCTTTAAAATATATTTTTATCTTTAATTATAAAATTTTAAATTTCAAAAATAATGTAGATCGAGCAGATCTATGAAATTTAGAAAATCTTGAAAACTGATCATCCTAAAATGCATTACAAAATGCATGATTTTCAAAACTTGAAATACATTTTTTTCTCATGTCCATGCATCTTGATGTAGAGATGATTAATTTAAGGATCTTTAGGCATCAAAAGAACCTCTTCTAGTGAAATTTGTGAGGTAGGCTCTAATGTGATTGTTTAGACCTACGCTCTATGTAAACTTTTTTTCAAAAAATAAAGTCGGAACATTTTCAGATTTTAAAAATTAAAACTTCGGATTTTAAAAATCCAAAATCCAAAACTTTTGGATTTTCAAATAAAAAATTGAATTTTAGCTTCGCTGAACATTTTCGGTTTTAAAAAATTCTTTTAAATTAAATATTGGGATTTTCAGAATAAAAAAATTTAATTTTCCAGTTGGATCATGTATTTTTTGTTAAATTTAGATATAGAAAATCCGGAAATCTTGTTAGGGAAAAAATGAAAAGCCTCAACTACCCTTCAAGATCTAGAAATCCACAAATAAAACTTGCATAGATCCAAGCAGTTCGGAAACCACAAAAAAAAAACTTGATAATGACGTAACAACGATAAATTGTAGGTAAATTTTACATAATGTCATTGTATTTTTGTATAAATTTTACAATTAATTTGGGCTGTCTCAGACGGTTCGTTATCTATTTAGAGGGAAACTGCATCGAAGGACAGAAAAAATCTTATACAGCAGTATGAAAGAGAATTCAAAAACCATACTGTCCACGTTATTGTACATACAAAAAAAACGAAAGCAAAAAAAAGATGATTAGCCATTTTATCTTACGTGGAACTTGAAGAATGACCCGAGGCTTTGGCAGTAACATTGTTAAACCTTATGATGAGGTTTCTGATTCCATTCTCACTAAAAAAAATAAAGGCCAAATCTCGAGCTTTACCATTTTACTTACCTTTTATATATAAATTTTATTGGCCCCACTTCTCACTAAAAAGAATAAGGGCCAAATCCCGAGCTTGACCATTTTACTTACCTTTTTTATATAAATTTTACTTGCCTTATTTCTTTTGCTCTTTTTTTTTTTTTAATACAAATTTTATTAGCCCCGCTTTGATAGGCCAAGGCCTCCTTGTCCCAATCCGAGCTTGGCTGGCCCACAGGAGAACTAGGCCGGGCCTAGACCAGGCCTCTCCCAACACTACTCACTGAAATAGCTATCAAGGCTATACGGTCAATTAACAACCATGTGTGATCTCTACGCATGGTCTCGTGCCCAAAATTGAAAACTAATAATATTGAGCATTTAAAGCCCTAATCTGATCCGATGATTCAAAGTCAACTTTTGGGAAATGATTTGTTCCAGATGCAAATCAGTTTCATTCTTTTTAAATTGATCTTAAGCATTGGTGAAGATGATATTTGAATTCTCAAATAAAAATAGTCCGCATATAAGTTTAGGTGGGGAAACGAACATGTGTTTGGAACCACACCACCAAATCTTTCCCCTATCAATAAAATTTTGACCTTCCACGAATATTTATCTTTCTTTGGTAGTGCCAAAAAAGAAATAGATAATGGTGATACTGCTATTTGGACCAATCTGGGGCTGCCAATGGGTCCGTCGGCAAATCCGGGTCGGCCCACCCAAAAAAAATAGGGCATGGGCAAAAAATCGTGGCCCATGGGCTAGGCTAGGCTTAGTGCCGGCTCAATTCCATGGCCCGGCCATTTTTTTTTTCTTCAATAGTTTTTTGTCGACCTGGGCTGGCCCTATGGGAACACCGACCTGGCCAGCGCTATCAACGTTCACATTATTCCCATCCCCAAGATTGGGTAGAAATCAAGAACATAACTGCAATTCCACCTACATGGGTGCCTATAGAATTATACAGGCGCACATAGCCATCCCCTAAATAATATGCATATAGATAACTTTTAAATTGGGAAATTTGGTAAAAAACATACATATAACAAATCACTAGCAACCTGGAAAAATGCATTGGTTCGTCCCTACTCATGCGCGTCCTATTCAAAAAATTATTCTTATAGATGAATGAATTTTGGATTTAAAATGTCAAAATGCAATAATCTCAACCAAGGTAAAAAATATGGAAAAAAAAAAAACATATCATTTTATTCTAAAACGACATGGATGGAAGTATTGAGAAAAAGATATGGCGACATATTGTCTTACTGAGCGTATGACCTTTGATAGAGTAGAATGAAAGCAAGATTCTTATAGCTAACTGTAAATAATTGGGATAAAGCTTGGATAATGACAATGATGATGATGATGATAATCACGTTGGTCAAGATTATCAAGTTGTAAATTTCAAATACGAAATCCATCTCTAAGATTGGATTCTGGAAGGAGAATATAAACAAATAGGTGCATCAATCGACACATCAAAATCCATCCAACTAGTATTACGATAGAATAACTAGTTTTAAACACAGTCTCTGAAACTCACAAGTATT